GCTAACGACTGCATGATCTGTCCTGCGGTAATTAAGCTAAAATGATTTAATTTCACACTTGGTAGATCCCGACGAACGAGGGAGTTGCATTCCTCCAGGGATATAAAATAGGGGGGGGGGGGGAGAAAGAAAAAACGAAACAGATTCCAGAAAAACCGTTTGCTCCTGATCCCGTTTTCCCCTCCTCTGTTTCATTCGATGTTCAGTTTATCAAATTTTCCGACAACTTAAACAAGTTCTATCAGACGGAGACTTTAAATATTTTAATAAACAGCCACAATACAAAAACAAAACAGCCACAACAACAACATTAAAAAAAAGATCAATAGTATTTGTTCCGATTTGCCAATATGTATGTAAACGAAACAAGGACATTATTTTGCTCTCAATGATCGCATACTGTCCCGACGGAAATTGTTAACGATGGGGTGTCACCACCTGCATCCCCCCACCAGTTAGCCTACGCCCCTCAAACTCTTACCATCTCGTCTTAACATCAATCCTAAACCACAACTTCTATTTGTTTTCCTCTCTCTACCCAGGAACCATTCGAGGGTTGCCCCGGACACCACACCCATGCTGGCCGAGCGAGACAGGCGATCAACAAGGCGCATCATCGACCCAAGAATGATAAGCCACGCAAGAGACAAGGCAAAATTCACGACTAGCCTGGCCTGGATGCGATTCCGTTACCATAGCGAAGAGGGAATACAATTTGTGGGGGAGGGCTGAAAAGTCTCGATCAAACAACCATATCTGAATTGATTTTTTTTCTTTCTCATTATCTTGCTTGTTATTTTTGTTTGGGGGGAATAATGCATCGATCATCAGTAGACATCAATGAACGAAACAAAACCGATACAAGAGTTTTGAACCATGCGAGAGAGAGTGAAAAATCAAATACTTGACTAGGATGCTATCCACTGAGTTGCTATGGTGACGGAGAATAGATTCTTGGGAGTTTAATTTCTCGGTTAAACATTACTTTGAGAAGTTTATCTGTTCATTATTTACGATTTGGGACAAGGAAATTATAAGGTACAATAAGATCAGTGCACATCTTCGACCTATAGAAATGACGAGTCGCGCAAAAGACGGGGTAAATACACAGCTTTGATTCTAATATGTTGCTACTCAGGGGCGAATTGTTTGGTCTCAATAAAACAACGAGTTCTATTTCTTCATTATTTACGGTGGAGTTTTTTTTTTGGGGGGGGGGGGGGAAGGGGGGCGGGTTGTGGCAATAAAATCAGTGAAACTTCGTTATCACATTACACACAAAAATGGCAATACCATTATACATTATGTTGCTTGCGAAGTATTGCCTTCTTGTTGTAGTTTTGGGGGTTACGAATTTCAAATGATTAAAAACATAGGTTTAACCATATATTTTATACGATTGTAAATTCAGTCCCTAATAAATACATAAAACCAAATACTAAGTCAAATTAGTCAATAATGCTATAGGTACAACAGAGATAACACACATAATTACAAAACACACAATTAAAATGCACAATCAGCCTCGACATATTTGATTATGATTTTTTTTGGTATTTCCATGATAAAATGTGATTTTAAAAAAAAGTATATTATGACAGGGTATGAGCGTGAACAAGATTTTTCGATGAAGAAAAAAAAATCTACTCTGAGTTAAAAGGTTCAAATGCATGTTTAGATTTTTCTAAGGATAAACTATACCCGCATTATAACAAATTTAAAGTTTCATTCACTTTACTGTTTATTATTTTATTTTGTCTTTCGACCTCACATCAACCATTCGATGTGTAGGTTCTACCAGCTTTAGGAAAGTATTTTTAGAATGTTCATCTCGTATATACTCATCTCAGTATTCAGCCACGTACGTGTTATACTAAGCTATAGATTGGCATACCGTGAATATTTGCCATGTTTTAAGACGCAGCATTTATGTGCAAGCTTTCAAACTTATGACCAAAAATATCCCGCTATAAAAATCAAGCATTATTGTCGTTAAATGTGTAGGTAATCATACTGCCGCTGTGTACGTATCTATACATGGCTGGTTTGAATGTATGTTTGTATACTTGTTTCGTGAATGATAATGATATACTGATTTATTCCCATTTTTTTTCATGTGGTTTATTTAATTTAATGTACTCGCATGACAGTTTTAGCCCTGTAGCATAACATACAGTCCGTATACAGAAAATGTATTTTGTAGCTTCTGATAACAGAAACGTCCGTGTCGCAGTTGCTTTTGATTGATTCAGAAATACTATGTAATGTAAATTGTTTATCCACATTTCATGTATAACTCTGTATGGTATTAAGATTCAAAATGTAATGCAGTCAGCTAAACTTGTACTATATTTATACGTATACCTCGTATTTGGAGTTTGTTCTATATCTTTCATTGTTTAGGAATATGCCGTTATCAAATTTAAATTGTAAGCTGTTAAGTTATTTGCCTTAGTATACATATGTGTTTCCTTTCAATATATTTCTCTATATACCTGTATGTTTGCATTTAATAAATGCTATTGAATATTTAATGAATAGTGTGATCTGATTTGTCTCCTCTTCTCTCCCCCTCTCTCTCTCCCTTTCTAGTTTTCCATTTTCTCTCTCTCTCCTCTGTCCCACCCCCTCCTTCTCTCTCTTTCTAGTTTTCCATTTTCCTTCTCTCTCTCCTCTTTCTCTCATCCCTCTTTCACTCTCTCCATCTCCTTTCCCTTTCCTCTCTCTCCCCATCTTTCCCCCCATCTTTCCCTCCTTCTTTCCCTATATCTTTCTTTCACTCAAGCATTTCCATCCAAAATTTCTCAACAGACAATACACTTTTCCTGTTTTTACCACAGACCTTTTTGCTACAATGTCCAAGTCCATTAATTCAATTAAGCACTGAATCACAATTTGAATAGATACAAAATTTCCAAAAGCAACACGCATAACACACAGATGTAGTGACTTGTAGTAAAAAGAATTTAATTCTTAAATCATGCAACAAATAACATTTGTTAATTTTTAATTTCAGATCAGTTTTTATACCCTTCACGTTTTGAGTGTTAAATCTGTTCTTAAATGAGATGAAATTCATTTCTTAGTGATTTCCACTAACTTTATTACTTCAGATTTTAAAAAAGAAGAGAAAGGAATACAGTGGATACATTGGGACCATGAAAATTACTTTTTATCTCAGGCATCTTGGCATATCAATGGGTAAATAAATAAATAAATAAAATGAATATCAACCGCTGATATCGGAGCTCTTTATAACGAGTTCAAACTGAACATATGAAGGAAGGTGAACAATAGGTGAAAATATAAACAAGCGTGTTAGACACGTTTGTTTATACACGATTCACAAATATTATGACAAGGTGAGAAAAACATAAGTAAGGGGGAAGGGGCATGTAAGATTGTATTACAAATTGATCATACTATTTCTATAACAAATTCTTACCTTTTCATGAAAATGTATAAAAAAATGCATGGTTACAAGATTTGACACCAAAAGTTTGCTTGAAGATTGATTTGGCAATTAAGGCAATACTTTGATGGTGTGATGAATAAAACAAATTTGGAGGCACGTGATCAGACTTAATGACATGATCTGAATACAATACTTAGCAGTCAGTTATATAGTATGGAATAGCAGCCACAAAAATAATCAACCTAAAGAGATATCCAGAATATTTCACCCTTTCTTTTTTTTTTTTTTCTGGAGATAGAAAGTATCTATCTCCCTACATAGTGCATTAGCCCTTGCTTTCCCAACTTTCTGCTGATATTCACTTCTGGATACATGATACACTATAACTCTAAATAAAGTTGTCCTGGTGCAATTTTGTACATGTCACATTGCATTCCAAGCCAGTACTGTCTAGTAGCTTAACCTTGTCACATCTTTGTATAAATCATGCAAACCAAACACCTCAGAGGCACCTTCAGAATATCTGAAAGTGTTTTTTTTTTTTTTTAATTCAAATAAAATGATGGTTCCAAAAAAAAAATCAATGTGCATTCAATTCAACATGCTAATATAGCACAGCCAGCACAAAATAATATTTCCCGACATGATCTTCATCTGCTTCAATCTCTGTAGCACTGTTCTAATCTCTGACTGCAAAGCCACAAGGCAGGACACCTCCGCAGGTCTCTCTTGCAATGTACAAGATTGCAACGTACTATTAAAGCCCCACTGCACTACTTATAGCTACTTGGCCCTCTATATAGCAAACAATGCCTTATCGGTGCCTGATGGTCCCCCATGATCCCCTTTTTCTTATGTTTAATTGAAAGCTGATTTGATGAGATAACTACCTGTCAGTGACCTTGCAGGGAGGTCTAATCCCCCATGGCCAAACTTGTGCAGACAGGCTTCAAATGTGATATGCACACCTTGTCTTTGAAATGACCAAACCAGCATCTCCTTTTGCTCTGCTCTCTTATGGCATGTTACTCAAGGTGTTCTGTCCTCCTCGATGGCTATCATCAATCTACCCTGCCCATCGACAGTTCCTACACTTGAATTAGGATGTTACTAATCTCCCAATCTCCTAAGACTAGGAACCCATTGCATCTTCGCCCTTGAACACATTACCAAAGCTCTCTTTCCTGGCTTTCCATGTATTTCTAGTTGCCATCATATGGCAGGGCCATCCGTAGATCCAACCTCAGTCTAAGGGAAGTCTTATCCATTACAACCTTGTCTTTTAAACACAGCAAATGCTATCTCCCCCCCCCCATAGCATTTCATATTGCATCACTGGTAGTGGCCATCTTGAGGCACATCTTCATACCCATCTTCACACCCATCTCCTATCTCACAAACTTATCAGTTCATTTCACCTTCAATACTTGCTACAAATGCCATCCCTTTTCCAGCTTTCACGATACTCCTCTACAATATAAAATTTATCTTCTTGTCACAAAGATCTTTCATTTCAATGCATGTTCATCCTTCAACGGACAAATAAAGCAATATCTAATACCCGACTTCATGTCACACATTACGCAGCGATTATCTCAAGGCATGACTCTCTTATAATCCCCTCCTTGTCTAACAAGTTCATTGCAACTCTAGGCTCTTTCACGGAACCTCCTCTAGGATTCTTGTCACTTCTCAAGTATACAATATACTCAAATCTGCCTGTCTCGCAACTTTTCCAGTTCATTAAACCTCTGTCCTTGAACGGAAACATGTAGAGCCATCTGCCGGCGTTCATGTTGTATATCTCGCAGCAATCGTTGAGGATTAACCTCCTATCTTACGCTCATCTTCTTGTCGAACAAATTCAACGCATCTTCTTCATCAAACAAGACAACCTCTTCCTGGCATTCTGGTTGTTACTCTAATGCATTTCGACCCGTTCATCTCACTCATTTTCCAGGCCATTACACGTTTGTCCTTGACGTCCTGAAGCTATCTGCTCATGACGCATCTCTCACGGCGATCATCTAGAGGCAAGACTTTGTTACAACGAGCTCAAATCCACTTCTCACAAATCCATAGCACCTCAGTCCTTCTTTTGCAAATAAAACATCCTCTTCTCAGTATTCCTGTCTCAGTCCTGGCATACAAAGCACCAATCTGCCTGCCCCCAAAACTTCCAGTCCATTAAACTTTCATCCTGTCCATCTGAGGAATATCTGTTCATGTTGCATCTCTTGCAGCGATCATCTTGAGGCAGGACTTCCTGACGCTCATCTCCCAGGCATCGAGGATCTGTGTGAGGGTGTAGCGGTCAGGCATGCGCATGACTTGGTTTTGAAGGGCTGCTTGGACTAGCTTCAGGAAAGGGGTTTGACCTTCGGAAGTAATGAGAAGCAAGAAAGAAAGAAAGAGAGAATGATGACCAAACACGTTCAAATTTAGAAATTAAATATTGGACATTAACGGAAGGTTATTAGAAAGTGATTATCAGGATGTAGGTTTTATCAGAGAAATCACTTTTAGAGACTGAGAGAGAGAGAGAAGTGAGAGAGAGAGAGACAGACAGACAAAGAGAGAGAGAGAGAGAGATGTGTGTGAGAGAGAGGGAAAGAGAGAGATACAGAAAGATGTGAAACAGAGAGAAAAGGTAAAAGAAAGAGAAAAGACGAAGAGTTTGGACAGAAACAGATGTGGAGGTCAGATAGAAAATAGAAAATTTAGAGAAAGAGATAGACACAGAAAGAGAAGGAGTGAGACAGAATTACTCATACATCAAGAGAAAATTAGAACAAATAACAAATACTGATGGTTAAACTCACCATATTCTTGTTGCGAGACGTCATAGTTTGGACTGAGTTCTGGATACTGCTCTGGTATGGCAACGTTGATTGGAGGAACACTCGGCAGATGCTTGTCATCTAGCAGAGGAAATTAAGATCAAAATTGTTCCCGAGGTCATGAAAGCTAATTTTCAATTAATGTAATGAAGCTCCATTTCAATATTTCATTAAAAAAAGGAAATTGTGAAATGTAATTGTGTAATCATTACAAGTTGTGGTATAGTTTCTGTGGGGCAAATTTTAACAATAATAATAATAATAATATAATAATAATTTGTATATAGCGCTTATTACAAATGTCTCTAAGCGCTTTACAGATATACTATTACCCCGGTCATTAGATTCAGTGCTTGCCCGCACACACTGTGTGCACAACAACATAGCAGAATATTGCTGAAAATGCACCAGCATGGTTATGTACAAATGGAACAGTGTTAAAAGAAGGTAACATACAAGTCATGGGCATCACCAAAACATTTTGTGAAATGTCTCAAATTTGCTCATTACACACATTGTCTGTGAGATTCATTTGGCAGATGTGATTCATCTATACATATGAAAACTTGGTGGTAATGGATCGGTTTACTGACACATTCAAATTTACGAATGTTTCTTTCCTAGGGACCTAGTGACGATTTATTCCATTAACCTGTTATTAATGAATTAACTGCAATACTTGGAATCCAGTCTGCATAAATTACTTGTTGCTATGTTGATTAAGCCTCAGACAAGCATTCAGGTTGTCGAGAACAACCTTTTTTTTAAAAGTATGCATATAATTTGAATATGTTAGTAAAGTAGCCTATAGTGTTCAAATTTATTTTCGAACTGTTACCAAACCTGAAAGTCTAAAGCACAATATAAGTCTGGAATATACATATTGTAAAAGCATGATATATGATGAACCCAATCTCGAACAGGTTGCTAATGCCTGAAAATGGAACATTTCACGATTAAAGCCCCACTTAAAGCAAAGAGATGCACCATATAGAAGGAAAAAAAAATATAAAATAAATATTTCCATATATATCATAGATATTTAAATATATTCCTACCTAGTCTGCAAATGAGATGGACATCCTTGCTACTGGTGTGGAACATGGGGTCAAGGTTCACTCGGAACTTAGGGGCAAGACGGGCCACCTCCCCTTGGATGATGTTAGGGATAGCGGTCTGAGTGGTCGGGCTACGGTCATGCTCTGTCTTCAACTTCTTGGCAGGCGGGGATGGGAAACTGAAACAAGGAAACGGAAGCCATGGAAAACAATGACTTTGGGGTTGAAAGCAATAGTTGTAAGGAGAAAATTACATCACATAGAAGCAATTATATACCTCTCTTTAGAAATCTAGCCATCTGATTGGTCAAAATTGGAGTTTTGATTTTAGCCATTCCCGTAAAGAAACGAACAATGCCAGTAACGGTCAATAGTCATGAGTGAGATTCCCTAAAGATTACGGGTACCGGGAAAATAGTAAAATTTTGATGAGATCCCCATTGGTTTACGTATTAAAATTGTCTTTGAGCGAGCGCGGACACCAAACAGCGCTTTTTGTCTGCGATTCCCAAATAATTGTAACTTTCAGTCATCTTTCCAGCGAAGATTGACAGACAGTGTCTCAGAGCTCCTGTGATATTTCAACCAATCTTTACTCAATCAAAGGATAAGGTAAGAATTCTTGGTAGATTTTTGTGTCAATAAAAGACAAATCGACTGCTTTAATATTCGAGGCCTGGCTGTTGGCTCTCAGAGACGTGCACATCCCCTTGAGCCTATAAAACGGCCAGGCTTCTCAAAGCAATCGATATATCTATATAATTTTCGCAACAGGTCTCTTTCTCTCACTCTCTCTCTCCCTCTCCCTCTCCCTCTACGTCACAACAAGCTAACTGATACATGGATTGACCACTCACTGGGATGGGTTCCCTTGCAGGGTCGTCAGGGCGGGGCCAAACGTCCTCTGGAGGGTGTGGTTGATGTAAGGGGAATCGATGTTGGCCTTCACAGCGTCCAAGAGGGGCTGGAACATGTTCGTCTTCCCCATGATCCTCGTGTCCAATGTCGACGTCGCGCTGGCGGACGTGGCTGTTGTCGATGTCCCTGCAGCGGAGGTTGAGTTAGAGGTTGCGAGTTGCTGTATAAGAAGAAAGACAATGATGTTTATTATAAAGGCGCACAAATCTACCTTGCAGTTTCGTTATGATCATCTATGATTCTTGACCTTTTCGACCCCACTATAGAACCCACTGTCATATCTGACAAATCTTATCAGTGCCATTTTCTCCTGTAATAAAACGGTAAATAGATTCAACTTGGGTCCATCTATGCCACATTCATTAACCCCAAACACCCAATATCCCCATAGGGCTAAGAACGTACATTCCTCACCGGCTCAAAGCCCTCCAAGTACTGTTCATATTTGGTAAATTCTCTGCATCTCTCTTCCACTTCATCTAGCTTTCACTACGATCTCCTTCTCTCTTCCCCTTTACCCCCACCCCCCTTCTCTGCACCCCACACCTATTAACATTCTTTGTCTATCCTGCACATGATACAAACTTTTCAATACACATCAGAATCGAGCCCAAATGTGTTTAGTACAGCAAGTGCTTTGAGGCGAAAATGATCATGGCGATAGATATGATGAAACTAATGAATGGAATAAGAATAAGTCGGTGTGAACGTTGATTTCTCACCTGCTCAAAGCCCTCCGGGTACTGCTCACATTTGGTGAGCTGCTGGATATGGAAGGGGATTAAAGTTAAACTAATGAATGGAATAAGAATAAAGCAGTGTGAACATACATTTCTCACCTGCTCAAAGCCCTCCAGGTACTGTTCACACTTGAAGAGTGAGTCTCTTGTTAGGGATGGGATTAGCAATTAACTCTAGCAGATCCTTCATCTTATTATATGATCATGGCGATATGGAGGGGGATTAAAGTTAAACTAATGAAATGAAATAAGAATGAAGCGGTGTGAACGTACATTCCTCACCTGCTCAAAGCCCTCCAGGTACTGTTCACACTTGGTGAGCTGCTGGAGAGTGAGCCTCTTGTTAGGGTTGGGGTTGGCAATGATCTCCAGCAGACCCTTCATCTTATTTACATCGGTTGCGCTGAGTCCACCTACAAAACATTAAAGATATAGAAGATTGTATAACGTATAATCTGTTCTATGAATGTTCTCAATTTTTTCAGTCGAAGAGTAAGTACATTACTACATACAAGTTAACTGAGTTTATTGGTTCATGTTATTCAGTTCCACCCAACGCCAGGATTACAAGTTATAATAAATCGTTGCATTTGATTGGCTGAGAGCAAATTTCTCACAGAAATTTAGCATTCGGTATTGATACAAGGTTTTACGAAATAGGGCCCTGGGATCCATTTCACAAGGCCTTTTTATCAATGACAAATGACAAAAATCAGTGACAAATCTGCTGATAACCAATCAGAAGCAAGGATTTCAGTAGCTCATAACAGAAAACTTTAATTGGTCACTGATAACAAATTTACCGTAAATAACGTTGTATAAACCGCCCTCGTGTATTAACCGCACCCCTCTTTTTCGCCCTTAAAAAAAAAAAAAAAAAAAAAAAAAAACTTTTTTTTTTTTTTTTTTTTTTGCCGAGATTTTTTTTTGTTTTGTGTAAGATCATTACGGTACTGTAAATTAAAAAACAGTAGGGACCTAGGATAGAACCTTGTGGTACACCATGTAATAGAAGAAAAATTGGAGGAATTATTATTATAAACTACATATTGAGATCTATCAGAAAGATTACTTTCAAACCAAGATGACAGACAAATTTGAGTGTTGTTCTAGTTTCCGAGTGGTGAGTCAACACACCGATTACCGAGCTGGGAGACATTGCCAGGCATAGCGCCAGGTGGAGGGGCATAAATTGAAACTTTAAATTTTTTTTTTTTTTTTTTTTTTTTTTTTTTTTTTTTTTTTTTGGTGTACCGTGTATAAACCGCACCCCCGACTTTGAATTTTTTTCGGCGGCAAAAAAGTGCGGTTTATACACCGTTATATACGGTAATGAAAACAGGGCCTCGGTGTAATGAGATACCAGAATAAACGACTCTTACCGGACTCCTCTCTGTTGCTGTTGGCCAGGATGGTCTTCTTCAAGGGTTCAATGTACTTTGAGAGGAACCTCATCTTCTCCTGGTAGGCAATCAGCTCTGCCTGGCCCTGGTTGGACCCCGGTCCACCTCTCATTCCTCCCCCGGGGCTGGGGTTGATGCTCCCCACTGATGCTGGATTACCTGTAGATGATACCAAAGGATGTTTAACATACACATCTACTGACGAGATGAACCAGAAATGTTCACAATATGAAAATGTTTGTGAATTTGTAAAAAATTGTTGTTGTATCAGTTGTTATTCACTTATTCCATCACTTACTAATTAAACTTTCATGAATATGAACCAGTCCGAAATTCGGGATCACTTCATACATGCATACATTTTTGGTTTTATTGTAGAACATAGGGGGTCTTGGTACTAGGGGCAGGAGGAAGAATGAAGAAAAAGATGGGAAATGAGCGAGTTTGAAAAAAATTGGGGGAGTAGAGCAGGAAGGCAAATGTAATGGTAGGAAGAAGGTACATTTAGATAGTAACACAAAATGCAAAGCAGCATGGGAAGAAAAATTAAATTATATCAGGTTCATGCGAAATATTCTTGCTCTTCGCTGGAGCCACATTGAGTAACTGACTTGAAAGAGTCGCTTTCAAGGAATACCCTCACCCTCACACATAACAATGCTGACCACCCCTCTCACCTGGTGTATTGAGTGTGCTGCTGGGGGAAGGTACACTGGGAGGGCCTCCTCTCTGGGAGCCTGCACTTGCTGGGGAGGGGATGGAGAGGCCCTGAGGGGAGGGTGATGGTTGTAAATAGCTGGCTGGGGAATGCATGGCGTTGGATCTGTCATAGGGAGAGGAATAAGAAATCTGGATTATCTAATGAATTTATGTTATGCTCTCTTGACAAAGGTTAACATATGTAAATCTAAAACCCTCTTGATCATCTTATCTGTAACTCTTCTCCATAATACCTCCAGCACTATTTGTGTCATCTTTATAATCATCATTATAACCATAAGCACTTCTACTGGTACCATAACCATCATCATCATCACTACCACTGTCATCACAGTTATATCATCATCATCACCATATTCATCAGTACTTATGTCATCATCATTATTATTAATGCCATTATTGACATCACTGTCGTCATCATGAACCTCATCATCAACACCATCAGTTATATCATCATTATGTAATCATCATTGCATCACCATATTCATCATCATCACCATTTTCATAATCATCATTATGTAATCATCATTGCATCACCATATTCATCATCATCACCATTTTCATAATCATCATTATGTAATCATCATTGCATCACCATATTCATCATCATCACCATTTTCATAATCATCATTATGTAATCATCATTGCATCACCATATTCATCATCATCACCATTTTCATAATCATCATTATGTAATCATCATTGCATCACCATATTCATCATCATCACCATTTTCATAATCACCATCACCATCATCACCATCATCACCACCACAATCATTAACAGTAAGACCATTAACATCACCATCATCTTCATCATAATCACCATCACCATCATCACCATCATCACCACCACAATCATTAACAGTAACACCATTAACATCACCATCATCTTCATCATAATCACTATCATCATTATCATCACCATCATCAACAGTAACACCATTATTATCTTCATCATAATCATCATGACATTACCAAAATCGACCCTCCAATTTCCCTATTCCAAACTTAGCCTACATCAGTATCACCTTCACAACTACCATCATCATCATCACCATGACAACTGCATCTTCTCTTACCCTGGAGCTGATCCCTGCTGAGTTGGCTGAGCTGGTGACGGCTGCTGTCTATACACCGGGGAATCTGTCACGACAGACTACAATCCAAACAAAAAGGAAAAACGGTTAAAGAATCGACTGTATACGCTGTTTATTTTCGTGTGATTAATTTTTCGCGCTGAGCGACCCTAAAACATATATGCACAGGTTCTTAAATTTGCGTTGCATGCAATTCAGCCCATTCAAAACACGCATAAGAAGTCATGCTTATATTTTCGTGAGTTCTAAAATAGGAGCTTGCCGATCTGAGCGCGAAATCTGCGAAAATCAATGTACCGCAAACATTTCTACGTTTCAGGTAATGCATTAGAACAAACAAAAAATGGTGGATTTACTATGATGAAGTTTAGCATTGGATAATATTATGCCGATGGTTCATGAGTGATATTAAGATTATTAGTGTCCATGCATCACATGATGTTAGAAACTAATAAGAAAGGTGATCATTAAATGATAAACCCAACTCATAAGGGTACTAAAAGCTCCACAATCCATTTTCACATCTAAAAGAATATTCTGCCCATTTCTTATAGCGATTATAAACTTGTGTGCACTGTAAAATGGTGATTCACTATGATGAAGTTTAGCATTGGATGATATTATACCAATGGTGGTTGCGTGATATTAAGATTAATAGTTTCCCATGCACCACATGATGTTAAAAACTAACAAGAAAGATAAATATTAAATGAACATTTCTCATAGTGATTATTTATTTGTGTGCACCTGAAATGGATGGTCTCTATAAGTACTGTGGTTTTATTATTTTTCATCTGTTTATGCTTAGAATAAACAGGCCCCAATAAGGGACTTCTGGAGAGAAAAATAGTGCACATCAAGGCTAAAACTGGTACTGTAAATCTGTTACTTTAAATATCACTAGCTTTTATTTACACTACACTAAAAAGAAGGCAACCTGTAAAAATACAATAAGAAAAAATACAACAAGTCTTGTACGAATGTTGTGACATGCACTGAACATGAGAAAATGTGAAACAGTTTGATCAAAGAGACTAAAATAAGAATTGATTCAATGTTAAAATCTGCAGAAAAGTGCAGCATGCAGTGACAAGGTGCAACATACACTAGTGATGCAGTGCTGTATGATAGAGTGAAAGTGAAATTTACACTAACGTAGAATGCACAAATAATAAAATCGAAACCATTTAAGAGAAGTAAATCTGACCAAGAAATCGTTGGACATGTAATTATTACGAGATGAGACACTTCATTAACTTAGCTTTGAAGTGCTTAAACAAGTTTGAAAAGGATTGCAGTAATAAAATAAGGCAGAAAGGAGTAAAACAAAATCACAACAAAAAAGAAAAATCATATTGAAAGAAATACTTAAGGTGAGACTATGAACAAAGCAAGAATTAAGTTAGGAAAGAAAATAAATGATGTTGTCATCAAGTAACATAACATTATTTCAGCCGAAGTTAAAATAATATTGAACATTTTTTCATGCCTGTTTAATTACTTTATATATCGTTGAACATATAATGATATTAAATCATTTTGTAGGATTGTTTGCAAATTGTGCATTAACAAAAATAACTTCCATGGCGTTACCTTTTTAAAAATTTGTTCAAATACATAACGTGTTTTCTACATCTCTCTAGCAAACTTAGATATGTTGCTCTTTCAAGTTACATGGTAAGCGGTTCATCAGATGATTCTGATATCTTAACAATATCTGAAAATGGATTTATGACTAACTCTGATTTAAAATGTATTTCAAAAGGTTTTCATTTTCAAGAAAGAAAAAAAAATACAATCTTAATAGCAGTGAAAAAATACAAATAAAACTTCATATTCAGGACTAGATCCATGATGAATTGCACAAAAGACAGTAATTATCCATGCTTTTGACTACCTTGGACTTCAATATATTGTTTCAAAGTGAAGAGTTGGAGTTACACCTCTCATAATACAATTTACATTTCTACATAAAACATTCACAGAGTGGACAAACTTTCATCCATTCTTGCAATAAGTACACTTAAAAGTAATGTCTACCCGTTGCCCTATATTTAGAATAATTTCATGCCTCAACATATGTGCACTATATATTTACTCGCTGGGCAGCATTCTTGTGGTTTACTCATGAAACATTCATACAAACATGATACATGATATGAATGAACCAAAGAACATTCCGTTTCATGACAATCCATTCCACAAACTAAAATGACTCATGAATTCAACTTGAATATGGGTACTATGTATATTTTATAGAGGGCAAAAATGCAATGGCGGTGACAATGCTTTAGAATAGTGTAATTCCATTGACATGACTTTCTGATCGTGATAGGTATGATTTTATTTAATTGTTATCTTCACTATCATTTCGTCATTTTTCACATTAAAAATGGCTTAATTTACTACCTCTTTATATCACTAAATCTGAAGTTTATATCAAATGTAAGAGTGCTTATCTATATGTGTGCATAACACTTGAACACATCATTAAATGATCAATTTAATTGCATATTTACCATTAAAATTGAATACTATTTAATATTCATCATATCAGTGCATGAGACACAATAGCAAAGCATGATACTATCATATGTTGTAATGGTTAGATAGATGAACGATGCATCTATAGTTATGTGTGTGAGGATGGGCTGATGGGGGAGGGGAGGGTGGAGGGTGGTTACATGCAGGGGAAAACCATGTCAATCTACTAACAACAGGCACTAACTTGTGCATGACAACATTGCTTATATTAAAAATATCAAAAAATGATTGTACTTATATGGTCATGAGTGTGGGCAACAGGCCGAGGTTAGGTATCATGATCATGATTACTATTACATTAATTCATAACAATATGGGGATGTGGTGGGGAGGGGGGAAATGAGGAGTCCGTGCTATTTCTACTTACATTACGATCAGACCAAAAATAAAAAATAATAAAACAAGACCTGACAAGACATTAAACCGCATGGTATCCATGATTTTCAACAACTATATACACAGGCTGACTAGATTTGATACAAACCTGCAGTTGACTAGCAATGGTGAATGGGTTAAATAGTTAACTGGTTAAAACATGACTAGTTACACACCTGAGGGGACATCATGTAGGGATAGCCACCATAAGGAGACATAGGTGCCCTGGACTGCGGGGTATAAAGCAGCAGATTAAATAGTGATTGCGGTTAATAGGCTTCTAATAGTTGACGGCTTGGGTCACAACTCATTTGTTTCTATGACAATAGGCTTGTTCATAAACAAACAATTCTCAGAATTCTTAGAATGAGGAGGGTCTTAATTTAATCCTTTAATCCTAACGACAATCATTCCACATTTAGTGGTTTGGGGTGATAACTTTTGATTCAAAGCCCTATAAAATATACCAGATGCATGAGTAAAAGGAGCAAAATTTTCTGCACACACTGCATCAATTTTTATTTCAAGACCATATTGTGTTTGATGGCAAGTATTTCAAAAAGGAAAATAAGCTTTAAAACCCTTAAATTGGCAAAAACATTGAGAGATTCAAAACGATGTTTTTTATCGAAATTGAGCATTTAAAAAACTTTTTGATAACATACTCGGCTTTTCTCACCCACCTATTAATGTTTTCAGAGATATTTCAGTTTATTTTAACAATGTAGGAACAAAAGAAATGTATTATTGTTGCCAATCTAAAGAACAATTTGTGATCAACTTAGCCCTCAAAATGTATCCTGTACTGAAAAAATAGTGAGATCTGAATCACGATTCAAACCTCAGTTTTACTTTGCGTGTGAACTGGCCTATTGTCCCTAGTTTTCATCCCATTTGATCTAATGTTAGGGTTAGTTCTCATGGGTTACACTTATTATTGCTTCAACTCCATCATTGTACATCTTCTGAGTATTCCATCAAACAAAGTATCAATAATTACTGGTGTTCTTATTTAGTTATAGAAATTTGCCCAAACTACAATAAACATTTGCAGAAACTTAATTTATTACACATATCAAAGTAACCTTTGGCTACACAAAGCAGGAAAAAAAAAGGATAATTTGTTATTTCATTCTAGAGTTCTCAGTCATTGGACCCAATTAGGTTTGTGTAATTTGTTGCACATTTACATATATCATAAATATCATAAAAGATACAATGATAAATTTCTTTAGCAGTCTTTTCAAAAAGTGCATATTCTTGAGAATTTACTTTAAACGCTGTTTAATTACAAATACAAAATAAACTTGAAACCTCTTCAATGGAAACTTTCGGTCGAGAAAATAAGACTATGAAAGTTATATTGTAGAAAAAAACCTGCATGTTACCATTTAGTATTGCCATACCCAAAACCTCAGGCTATTATATGCTGGGTTGAAAAGTGTAGATTGTTAAAGGTCAGAAATATAGTGATGTGATTAGACGGTGATGAATGACAGATGGAGAAATCATTCTGAAAAACAAGCTCTATATAAATATTCTAGCTTGAAATGAACCTTTTGCAACACTTGTCAAGACAGTTAACAATTGCACAAATCAATCATTTCTAAAAAGATGGCTGTAAGAATGAAATAGAGGTTAAATGAATAAACATGTTAGCAAAGCTAGAGGTCAAGACTGGTTTGATATTTAAATTCACAGCAAAACATTCATGTAAGAAGAAAATATAAACACTGCTATGAACAAAGAGGAGGTACACTGCAATATTTATGCACACAAATATACACACTATTTGCAGATCCTTTCAGTACAGAGTTCATAATAACAAATAGATGAATACATGGGACCATATGTTAAAGTGGAAAGAGTATTGAATTACTCTAACTTTTGGATTGATGAATGGACAGGGTACGATTGGGGTTAGAATGGGGCAATATGAAGAAAGACGGGGTCAGAATCACGAAATTGGATCTGTAAATGACTAGGTACTAAAAAGTCTTATTGCTAGTATCAAAGGAGAATAAGTTATACATGCATTAGAATTTATACATGTAAACAGTGAAAGAGATATATTATGATGGGTGAATATGGTAACGAAATAACAACAGGTATCAATTAAAGGGTATGGTTCCATTGGAAACATATTTAGCACAGGTGAAGTCTGAAGAGTTTGTGCGAACGAATATGAATTAAATTCTAGACTGATAAAATGCTAGTTACCTAATAGGAATGTTTGAAGATAGTTAACATGAAGGAAAATTAATGAATGAGGTTTAAAACAGGACTCAACATTTGAATGAATGATTAATTAATGAACATAGGATATGTACAGAATGTTTCAAAATAACATGGTCAGGGAGGGACCCGGGGAAGGTGACAGATGATTAATTAATCAGGGTTAGGTTAGGGTTAGGGTTAGGGTCAGAGTTAGGGTTAGGATTGCGGTTAACGCTACAATTATGGTCAGGGCTACGTATAGGGTTTTAGGTTTAGTCTTTGGGTAGGTTTACAAAATGATGGCAGAGAGACTGTTGCCGGAGCAGGGGGGGGGGGGGGGGGGGGGGGGGTTTAACATTTTAAATCGGGCCAAAAATTTCGCAACGACTCAGCCAGCCGCTGAATAAGCGGGGGGGGGGGGGGGGGGGTAAGAGGGGACACTTTTTTGGTCTCAAAGTTTGAAAATTTGACATTTTGCTCCGTTGGGGGGGGGGGGGGGGTAAGGTCAACCTTTTTAGGTCAGCCATTGGTATAATTTTTTTTTTTTTTTTTTTTAAATTAAAAAAACAAACAAAGGGGGGGGGGGGTTTCCTCCAAAATACACACATAAAAAATCCCCCCCCCCCCTGCGTACGCGCCTTAGCCGGAGCATGTGTCATGGATTCCTTGTAGGGATTATAGACAGTTATTAAAGGAACCTGATGATAACAACACCCATTAAACTTCTAGGTGTGACACTCTATACTTGCTCGTACCTAAATGTAGGGTGGAGCAGAGTACTTGAGATCGGGGTTAGGGTCAGTGTTAGGTTTATGGTCAAGGTTAGGGTTAGTGTCGAAGAAAAGAATTTGGTTAGGTTTACAAAATGACATCTGAGAAACTGTTGACGGAGCATGTGTCATAGAACCCTTGACGGGATTGCAGAGAGATCAGTAAAGTGTCCGGCCGATACCAACACACATTACTACACTTCTAGGCGGACTACCACCATTCTTACCTGTATGGGCGGGGTGGACTGGACCGGGTAAGAGCGGGGTACTTGAGCCCGGGGCGGGATCGGGGCCTGGGGCTTTTGGCCCTGCATCACCATAGTATTCTACCAACACAACAAAACAATGATTACAGATGCATACATGTACAAGCAATACAAGACGAACAGACTATGTCTAAGCCACAAGCAAAGTATAATACAATGCAGACCTCCACTGATGTCGTTTTAATAATTGGAGACTACATTCATAGGTTTCCCTTTAAAGGTACTATGTCCCATTTGCAGGCCCAAAAAATGAAAAGGTTAAATTCTAACAGCATTTGAAAGATAATACTAATTTATAACGTCCCTAGGGGGGGGGGGGGGGCTTGTACCATTGTACCGGATGGTCGTACGTTTTATGCTGCGCAAAGATTCAATCAGTTTAATTTTGGCCATTACAAGAAGTGGGTTATTGATGTAGACAAATGCTCATGTACCCTTTACAGCTCATTTTATGTTTGTTAATACCAAAGATGAAAAAAGCCAGTCAGTCACTCAAATGAAGTCTAGCAAGTAAACTGGTTTCCCTGCATAATTTGAATATTAGGACACTGCTAATGTTTAAATTTCACAGATAGGACATACATGACATATTCATAATTCATGCAAAGTTCTACAGAATTTTATGTTGGCTGCAAAAGGGACATAGTATCCTAAAGAACACATTTAAGGTTGTTAAACACATTTTGATAAAAACACAATACACCCTTTCACGGTTAAGGCCGCCATTTTAATTTGCGAGTAAACATTGCGTCATCAATGTTTTCAGATGCGCATGTATTGTTGCATCACTGCCTACGCTGTGCGCTCACATCATATTGACATCGGCGCCATTTTAAATTACGAGTAAACAACTTTGTTTACTTGTAATTTAATGTCAGCGCTTGCACACTCTTGTAACCGTGAAAGGTTGTTTTGCATTTGTGAGATTTATGTCTAGTCTTAATCTGAAATATGGTTGAGTTTCCTGATTTGAAACACAGAAATGAGTGACAAAATAATGTTCAATTTATTTTGTCATGACATGGATAGACATTTCAGCAAAACAATGGCATTGATCACGAGTCTAAAACGATGACAATCTAAAAGCAAATGAATAAAATGAAATTTGGATCTAATTCAATTTTTACAGGGATTGTTTCAACATTTTATGGGTACAGTCACGTTTACATCGCCAAAATTATCAGAGCATTTAGTCTAGGGTTGCCTTGTTGGTCTATGTGTCTAAACCAAAAGGTTATAACCTTCATCTTTGCTAACATAGTGTTTAAAAAAAAGGAGAAGAAAAAAGCCTTGTTCTTACAGGACACAGCAAACTGACCCTACTGGAAATGGACTTGGTCTTGGGCGAGCAGGACCAAATGTGGAAATGGACTCGGTCTTGGGCGAGTAAGAACAGATGTGGAAATGGACTTGGTCTTTGATGAGTAGGACCATATGTAGAAATGGACTTGGTCTTGGGTGAGTAGGACCAGATGTGGAAATGGACTTGTGAGAGTAAAACAAGATGTGGAAATAGAGTTGGTCTTGAGTGAGTAGGACCAGGACTTACCTGAAAGTTCTGCTGTGGTCTTACCATCTGGTTCATCTGCTGCTGTGGCATCATGTTGTTCTGGGACATGTTGTTCTGGGGCATGCCCATCTGGCCCCCGCCCTGCTGCTGCATGCCGTGCATCTGGTTTGGACCCCCCTGGGGACCCACGGGCATGCCACCAGTCTGGGGCTGAGGGGTCATGTTTCCACCCCCTCCCGGAGGACCTGGAAAGCCAGTTTGTTGCATTCCTGGAAATGACAAGAAAATAATGATAATAATTTGGAAATCCACATCACATACAAATATAACTATCACCAATTGGTTAACAAATGTCATTCATATTTTCTACAGTTTTTAATACTTTCATTGCTGTAGGTAGTTTTAAAAGCAAATTCTTCATATTGTGTAAAATGGTCCTAGCAAAGAAATGCATGTTTTTATCTAAAAATTCAAAAAGGGATCAAGAATTTTCAAGTCAAATATTATGCCATGGTATCTGTATCGAGATGAAGATAGGACAATGATCTTATAAAATGTTAACCTGTTACATTAAATAACACATTTCAAACAAGCTTTGAAAACTTGGAGCACCTCTACGGTCATGTAAGGGTAAATTTTCCTCACATTACATGCAAAATAACATCACTCTGAATTAGCTTTGGTTAATGATGCAGCCCCTTCCATTAAAGGGACTTGGTAACATTGTTTGGATGAGAGAAAATGGTGCTAAGGTAGTGACTTCAATGCTAGATGTACAATAAAAGATCATCTGAAATTTTGAGTGAAATGGACCATTGTTAATGATAAAAATTGGGAAAACTGATCTTCACTTTTTTAAAAAATCTGCTCAACCCCTACCTCCGACTGCCCCTCCCTGGTAGTGGGGCATCTGGGAAGGTTGTTGCTGGGACTGTTGTGTCTGCCCGCCTGCTGTGAGACGCCCTGATGCATGCCACCAGAGCCTGGAGCCATCCCACCCCCACCGGGCTGGCTGGGGTTACTCATGAGCTTCTGAAGGTTCTGGAGCTGCTGCTGCTGACGCTGGTCCATCAGATTGCCCCCTGGAATCAACACAGAGCAGAATGTTTAATGGGACTTTGAAGAAGTTGACAAAGTTGTTTAAAGGCATCGTTTAACAATGTTAAATCTGACATGCACAGCCCTACGTGCTACCAGAGTCTGTGATATGATGTTATATTGAAGCCCTAAAAAAATTGTGCCTCAAAATGATCATGAAGTGCCTCAAAAAATTAAAAATCTTTGAGTGACCCGTTTTACCGTACTCGTTTTCTCTAAAAGACTGTAGTGTTATGAAAACCGTTAAAAAATGCAAAATTTGGTTTCAATTTCCAATCATAAATATCTTGATAATCAGACAGATGATCGGCTTGTAAAAGTCATGGAGTTCCTGACTGACCTAAAGGTTTATAATTATTATTGCAGCATGGGCTAAATCCAGGATTTTGTTTCAGAATCTGAGACAAAGTTACTGGATCCCTTTAATACAAAAATATTTCCTCTCCTTTGTTTTAAAGATGTTCATGGGTATATTGTAGTTCGTGAAGCAGGCAACTTGACGATCACTCATGGGTATTACCATTTCTGCAAGGATTTTCAAAACAAATGTGTTTGAAGTCGAATATTGATTAAAGAATACAAAATGTAGGTTTTTCTGCTTACAACATGAGAATACCCCAATTTGTTTTCTTTTTTTTCTGGGGGGGGGGGGGGGGGAGGGGGCAATCTATGCAGAAGTGTGTCTTCAATGACATCCTCTTACACATTATGATACAATTTAAGTGAAATTGTTGGCAAATTTGGGGGCTCCAAACACTTCAGAGGGGCTTTAAAATCTGTTATACCTCAGGCCTATTCAAGACTGTATTAGAAATATTGAAGATGCTGACCTTGTGGTTGTCCCATCTGGTTCCTCATCATGGGCCTGTTGCCTTGGTTACCGACTCCGGGAACCATCTGATTAGGGTTGGGCTGCATCTGGAGACTGGGACCACCGGGGCTGTGGGACTGGCCCATCTGAGTTAGCCCCTGCAAAGCTACCATTGGATCTAGGAACATGGTAGAGGTGGTAAATGGTTTAAGATGGTGAAAAATGAAATTCTCTCAGTCTCTTATACTTAACGAGAGAGCCATCCAGGGCCCTTTTTCACAAAACATGTCTTCAGTGAAACTGATAGCAAACATTACCTTTAATAGATAACAACACAAATCTACTCCAGAAAAATACTTACACGTCGCGTACAATTTCAGTTGAAAATACACATGTAACGTCTACATGTATATCACCATGCAAATTTTGCGTGAATGCACTACAGAACCTGGCTTTATCAAAATTGTAAATAACAATGTATATTTCAGGTATGTTTAATTGCAATTAATTAATAAATGACATATCAAATATTAGGAATTGAATGAGAAACTGACCTTGTTGCTGACCTGCCATGTTGGGAGTCATTCTACCAGTTAGACCTTTCTCTTTGGCAGCTGGAATGAAAATACAAAAACAAACTTACAATGTCTCCACACAACAACTGAAAGTACACAGCTTGGCTGCTTTATGAAACTACATCATACATGTACCCATTAAAAAAACAGTTGCTTCCTCAAAAATTCTCAGTAAACCTGATGTCTTGGCCTTGGCAGAGTATAGCCTGTGTTTGTTCCTGCTAGTATAAAAGGTGTGGCTTCCTCTTTGGATATCGAGACCAATTCTATGCATGATAGACATTGATTACATGAGAGGAAGAAAGGCACAACTTCATCAAAACGGGTTTTGAGTTCTTGAGGTAGAATTGAAATATGTAAGTTTAAGAGACAAAGTGTTCTCATCTTTCTTCATAGTCAAACCTCACTTAGTGGCCATCTCTACAAAAAGGCCACCAGTCAAGAGAGGTAATTCATATTGGCCCCCTCTAGAAGGAATGTGTGTTGATCGATGAACCTGTCTAAAGAGGCCACTTTCAACAGTTGCCATGTTTGGCGGTTTCCCTTGTGTGGCCTTTATAGACAGGTTTGACTGCACGTGATTCCTGCAAAGATGAAAAGATTTAGTCTTTTAAAGAGAAAGCCGAGTTCTGACAAAGGTCAACAACAAAATTGTGATCATTCTCATTCTTTGCACGTGACTTCGGAAGATTGTTATCTACTGTAGGAAAGTCTCCTGAAGGGGATTGCTCCTAGAGTGCCCTCATATTTGAAATAGATGTGAAAAAGCTCAAAGGTTTGGACCAAACATCCATGCCACATACAGTATTTATGTAGTCCCATATGCCCATTCTGTGTGCAACGCATGTGATTTTCATAGAGATTGGGTCCATTTGGTATATTTTCATGATCCCAAACCCTAGAGTATACACTGATTCTTATGCCCCACATAGTCAACCTTTTCCAATTGCTTCCAGACAGTTTCTTTCACAAAGCAATAGCTCAACTTGACCTTTAAAGTTATCAAAGCACCATGTTTATCTCTCAATAACTTTTTTTTATATGCTGATGGAGTTACATCCTGCTCCTTCTCAATACAATCAACTGTATATTCACAGACCAAGGTCATGGTTCTTACATGTGTTTACCAATGATTGGCTGGAACTTGAAAGGTTAATGCTGTATTCATATCTTAATGGCACATAATGGCAGTCATTATTACTTTGTATAATTACACACTTCCTCATCTTTTAACAGCTGCTTAAATGCCAACTGCAGCAGCACATACCCACAACACCCAGGTGTTAAATGGGTACCTGGTAAGACGTTAATGTGGTTGGAAACGCATGTGCACACTTGCAAAATAGTGCCTAGCCAGAATACTCCCCTGGGTGCGGAGCGTGTGCATTATAGTGTTTGTTTGTACTGAGAATATGTCCCTCTTCTTGGTTTAAGATAAAAGAAAAAATCTACTACATTGGGTGTAAAACTATATACACTGTATATCACACAAAAGAAAAATGCCGGTAATATATTTTCTTGAGGAAAATTTAGGATTTTCAAAGTAAAAAATTAGAGCTGTACATATATGGAAAACCAAAGTATAAACGTTTCATTTTCAACTTAAAAACTGGCTTATTCTTCAATGGAACCGATCTGCCTAAAATCTTTCCTGATCTGTTTTTTCTTTCTGCTTTATTTCAGCCGAATTGCCAGACCATCCTATGACCATATACATGTTTGTATAAAAACACGGTGCCTGGCCAGACATTAAAAATCATATTGTTTACAAACTGCATGGTAGTCTGTACAACAAAATTATGACATGAACATTGCACCATGAAATTAACAACATTAAATCTGCAATATGTAATTGCCCACAATAACTTCATGACATGAAATTTACAGCATATAATCCATAATATGTACAGTACAGGTACATACAGTATTTACAGTTGTAACAGTAAAAACAATAAATTTACAACATGAGAACTGAAACATGAATTTACAACTTGACACAAGAAAGTCACAACATGAAAACAACAATATATATGAACAGTCAAATGATAAATACAACTGAACATGAATTAGCTCTGTGAAACGGTGAACATTTGGTATAAATATATGAGCATGAATTACATGTAGCTCTGTGAAATGGTGAACGATTGGTATAAATATATGAGCATGAATTACCTCTGTGAAATGGTGAACATTTGGTATAAATATACTTACCATTACTGTCTCTCATATGGAGGATAAGACGAGCTACGAGACTCAGGTAACTGTCCTACAAAGCGGGAGGAAGTAGGAAGAGAAGTGGAAAAGGAAGTTGACCATGTAGCACATTCTAAACGTAGGCCTCTGGTTTGGGTTACGTACTACATGTAACAGGCAGGATAGAATTGGTTTCCAACAGGATGCATGTGATATACAGTGTAAATAAGGTCTACCAAAAGACAGATGGTCCGACACGGTTGAGCATTTTTTAGGGTATTTCACATCAGGACGATTAAATAACAAGAAAAAACATTTGGACAAAAAAGTACATCATGCCCGTTACTACCTGCATCAGGATGACTACCCCACCCCCCCCCCCCCCCCCCCCCCCCCCCTCTTCCTAGGTCTGGTCTATTATATCCAGACTTACTTACTCACTATAACTTTCCAGTAGTAAAATTACACATATCCCCTCTGACAATTTCCTGCTACGCTAGACAACTCCCTTAAAAATTACCTCAATTTTCCTTGCCCATCTATAATTATACCTAGGGGGAGTTTTGACTGGGGAGTTGATGGGGGAGGTACAATTAGTAGTCTAGCTGGTTTGGGTGGGGGGGGGAGTAGTTATTGAAGGAGGGGGGTGATGATGGTTCAAAGGTTAGTTGTGACAGTTTTGAACACATGGGACTGGAAGAACAACAAAACAAGAGAATATAATACAATTTCTCAGTTCATGAATAAATGAATTACTGGTACTCTGTCACGCAGTAAAGCATATTTCTTAGAAATTGAATACTACAGGATTTATGTCAAATAAGCACTCAAGAAGCAACAGAAACAAGTGATTACTTAACACAGGGATTTTATCATTCAATCTACTTGAACGATCTTTCACTTTCAGTACCCATTGTTACAATGGTATTTCAAATACCAGGTATTAAAGAAACATGATACAAAATCTCATATGATGTGGTAATTGCCATCCAACACATATTATTCAATACATTACATTTGGCTATGACACAAATCCTATCATTTGTTTGGATGCAACATACATGTATCTCAATTAAAAAAACACTGAATCTAATATCTTCAACAATATTGAATTCATACATGTAGGTAGGGGCACGATCAAGGGTAAATATTGTCTGAGCATTCGCTATAATAATGATATGAAAACAAAGAGGCAAAGTCTACTTTGAACATACCGGTATTCAATAATGAATGTTTTGCTTTAAATTTTTCAACATTTTTTGTTGTTAATGAACTTGAAGTTATAGTACCATCTTCATTTCAAACTGTATGTGAAATTTATACTCAGTACCACTAGTAAAGGTTAATGCAGGGTGTTTTTCATTTTGTCAAGGTTATGGATTTGACAAAAATCGCTTTTCTCAGGGCATCTGGTGGCCGAATGTCAGTTTAACCATGTCCGTAAGACAATGTAGTTTCTCCTGCAACAAAATAATTCATAAATTAGTTTATCTGGCTGTCTAGGTGGCCAATGGTGGACAATCTATTTTCTACATGTATTTCCTATATGTAGTTCTTCTTCAGGAATTGTTCTTCTTTCTTCTTTCTTCAAATAAGAAAATCAACTCAATAGAAGCTCTTTAGTGATTCAGAGTGTCAAAAACAATATCATGCACATCATAATAAAGCAGATGGACCGAGACACAAAAAGTATTGATACACTGTAGGTAGCAGATCACAGATAAATCCTAAAAACTAAATACTAAACAATTTAATTTCTTGACATTCTGGAGCAAACTGTTTAGCAGTTGTTTGACTCTCATCCAGCAATTGAAAACACTGTGCACTACCTTCATGCATATTAATTGTAATTGCATCATTAAAGCCCCTCTGCACTAGTTTGGCATGGAGGGATTAGACCTCCCTGCAAGGTCACTGGCAGGTGGTTATCTCATCAAATCAGCTCTCAATTAACATAAGAAAAAGGGCATCATGGGGGATCAAAAGGTACCGCTTAAGCATTGTTTGCTGTATAGAGGGCGCAAGTAGCTATAAGTAGTGCAGTGGGGCTTTAAAGGTACTATGTCCCTTTTGCAGGCCAAAAAAATGAAAAGGTTAAATTCCAATGGCATTTGAAAGATAATACTAATTTAGAACATGTGCAGAATGACAATGTCATTTTTTCAGCAAGACAGAAACAATTTCTTTCCATTTTGATCATTTCACAATCTCACAATCTCTTACTTTGAACGTACTACATATTCTTTATAAATTATTAAACTTTTTCCCACTTGCTTCTAGACAGTTTCTTTCACAGGGTAATCTCATGTACATGTATCAATTTGAGTTCTAAGTAAAAATGAAATGAAATAAAATAAGGTTCTATCTTACCCTATCCCTTGCCCTGTTGAAGATGTGCTCCTCCAGCTCGCTGCCTGATTTCTCTATTGGGTTGCATGCATCTCGTAAGGCATCATTGCTATAAAGGGAAGACAAAAAAGGGAGTGTCGTAATGACAAGCAACAAACTATTGAATTTATCAGCACATTTCTCATGGCATCATGGCTACAAGTCCAACAACAAAAAGTAAAGGTATTGGTAAAAATAAAACTACATGCAATCAGATAGAAGAGCCATGAGGGCAATGGTGAGCCATGAAAATAAAAATATCTTGCATTCCATTTCAATACATCCAAATTTACATTCATAAATGGGGTTTGTTACAAAAAACCTTCCATGTATTCTTCTATGGGTGCGTTTATCATCCCTAGAATCAGCGTTTTCAAACGTGTTTCAGGCGAATTTGGATGGTGAAAAACGCAAGCCTGTTTTAAATGTCTTCAGATATGGGTACCGGGGTATATCAAAACGCCCCAAAAAGAGTGTGTTTTGAATGTGAGAATGAGCCAGAATCACGTTTCTGAGAGATGATAAGCGCGGGGCTGTTTTGAAGCACACATACATATCAGACCTTCCCAGGCTAATTTCCGATTCGGAGAAATAGTGCCCGCCATGTGCTGTGCCCTAGTTGACCTCCTAGTAACTCTCTGCTTCACAGGTCAAATGGCGCAAAGCAGTTGTGCAGAGACAAGGCCTTTGAATCGTGAACAGTTGGTAAACGCGACATCCTGCAAATCATGTTCGAATAGTGGGTTTAATATGAATGTACAGAAACACCGTTTCTGAGTGGCAAAAGATGATGAACGCACCCTTAGATTAAGAATATTTTCCCTCTACTAATCTGAAATATGGTTCACAGAGCTCTTTGCAAGCCCAGTGATACCTTTTTGTGGCAATTAAGTGCCTCATCGGACTCAAATCTTGCCACATCATTTAAGGATGCAAGTACAAGTTTTCTTTAACTTTTAGGTTCCAAACAGTTTTAGCCTGTAAAAAAAACAAAACAATTTATATTCATTTCTAAAAGATTTTTATTTGCTATATATTTTGGTATCATCTTTAGTTGTGATATACCCATTATTAGATCTTTTCCTCTGAAATTAGCATGTGGCAGCACTTCAATGAAAAGCATTGAATGATTGGACGATGGTACCACATCTCAAAAGATCATAACACAGTTAGGACTCTATTTCACTTGTTCCATCTATAAATCCCCTTAATTTATTAGTCCAAGACAATTTTTGAGTGGAAAATCCCTTTCCTGATCCTTTTTTCATTTTCTCAAAAATTGTTTAAAAAAAGAAGAGTAACTTTGCCATGATTTCTCTTTAATTCTTTGAATTATGATTTGATTCTTGTACAACAGTCAATTTCTATAGATGCTAGCCAAATTCAATTGGTAAATCACTATTTTGCAATATCAATCATCTCACAATTTTTTACCACAGCAGGGTACAAGTACGTGAAAATTAAGGTCTTCAAAACAACTTTCTTAGAGTGAGTGCAGAAGGTGCTACAGACCTATACAGACACACTCTAGCATAGCATAGAGTCAAATCAATGCTAATGCGTATTGACCTCTAGCGCTGTACTACGTGCGGAGAGGCAGCAATTAAACACAGTACACAATTGCACACTAATGCACACAATGAATACGATGTGGCTGATCTGCAATTTTGACAGTAGACTCACGATTTGAATTTTCAAAATATTCTTTCTAACATTGGTAAGTTGAAAAGATTGTATTTTACTGCTATTTAGGTGTCATCAATTGTCACTAAAGTACTGATTTTGAGTGAACTCAGTTGAGTTTTGTAAAGTGGTGTTTGAATTGTTGAGAATCAATAGAACAGTTTTTAATACACAACCAGGATTTTAATGCAGCTACCGGTATGTGTGTACAGACACGGAGTGATTTGAGGTTCGGTGTTGAAAGCTGGTGCTGGTGTTGTGAGAACACCAACACCAGCTACAACACCGAACTTGAAATCAGGCAGGTGTTGGGATTGACCTCAGGAAATATGACTTATTTCCAGTAGTCTGTGTTGAGGATTGGCTAGCTAGTGTTTAATGTCGTCTGCTGAACCGAGTATCGCGGTTGGTGTTGACAATTTTTTTCATTCACCAACACCAACCCTAGCCTATAATCTAGGCGGAGTGCCGAGCTTTTTTCTTTGCTGCTAGACTAACCTTAAGCAGAACGTCTGATACGGCGAGACTACGAACCGTGAGCCAGCGGCTCACCGCCTATAATCACTGGTCTAGCTTTAGTCGTTGTTTTTTTTATTATCGACCATGAATCCGTGGCAGTTTTTCGTACGAAAAAACCTCATGAATACGAAATGAACTCAACCAATCAGAAACACGTATGGAGAAGAGTCTATGCATATGCATATTATAAATCACGTGACATACGTCATTTTCTTCATCCAAGATGACGGGTAGTTCATGCGACGACGATCTTCTGCGAGAAAGTTTATCATATGCGGCCAACAAACTAGGCATTCCTAATGGAAAATTCAGAGAACTGCAGGAATCCGCTATTCGTAGCGTTAGTGAAGCCGGCAGGGATATTTTTGTTGCATTACCTACTGGTTTTGGAAAGAGTGCAATATACCAAGCAATCCCCTTGTGCTGTGATTTTCTACGCGACCACGGATTCTATGATCATGATTACTCGAGTAATGGACGAGCGCAATCTTTTTTCGTTGCGGTTTCTTATATCTGATTGGTCGAACGTAACATAGGTGTACCTTATTTGGTAGGGCTGTTGAATGATTCATAGATCCGCCATTTTGAATATATATGAATATTGATTAGCTAGACCAGTGATTATAGGCGGTGAGCCGCTTCGCGACTCACGGTTCGTAGTCTCGCCGTATCAGACGTTCTGCTCAGGGTTAGTCTAGCAGCAAAGAAAAAAGCTCGGCACTCCGCCTAGATTATAGGCTACACCAACCCTAGACCGAAAGCTTCAGTCTCTATATCGTCGGTTGTTCCACTGAGACTACGTCTGGCTCCACTAGACCTCCGGATATAGAGACTGAACCTATGCCATCGTACGTTGAAGATACACTCTACGGGTATACGATAAGACGATACTGCCCTGACGCTAAGTTAAATCCTTTTTTGTTATAATCGCATGCACTAACATATAAAATTGACATTTAGAATTAAACCACACATGATAAACATTAAGAAAATATGTACCTTGGACCTCTGCATATGAAATCTTCTTAAAAAAGTGTTATTATCTCTTCCACTTGACTGTCTTCAGACGTCAGCCATCTTGAATCAAAGTAATGAATATTCATGACAAAGTTTTTTAGTCTCCACCCCATTGACCTCATTCATAGACGTGCACGTACGTGCACGTACATGTACATCTCGCATCGTTTGAGTTCTTGTGTTGTCTGCTTCACTTGCGCGCGCTATCCTCGATGTGCCGCGCGGAGGAGCTAGCCGAGGCGAGGTCAACCATCCCCATTATCGTATTTGTATATTCATTAGCCGCCATTTTTATTTCCGTCGGTCAGAATGCTTGACGTGGGTCATCGAGAAGCAGCCAAAAGCTCGGTAAGTCCTTTTATTTCTTTTATATTTCTATTTCGTGGGGAAGGGGGGTAAAAAGGGAACTTTTAGGGACTGACAATTGCCTAGAAAATTACTGCAATTGAAGATAAATGATGTATTTCTCCTCAAGTTTGTCATGTTTGTGGGAGGGGCCTAACGGCTAAAATCTAGCCGTGATATCTTCAACATACGATGGCATAGGCGATCGTTCAGTCTGTATATCCAAAGGTCTAGTGGAGCCAGACGTAGTCTCAGTGGAACAACCGACGATATAGAGACTGAAGCTTTCGGTCTACACCAACCCCTACTGCCCTAGGGATTGGGAAATTCATGATTTCAAGTTCGGTGTTGGTGTTGGTGTTGCAGTATACCGCAGGTAACTATGCAAATATCTGGCACGAACGTCACGATCATGCCAAGGTAAAAACGTAAAATCCATTATCCAAAACAGCTGTAAATCATGGGAGCTATATGTTTTTTCAAGAGAAATTACATTTTATCTATTGAATTTCTGAATGGATTATGCTTTTATTGCAAGACTTTTCGCCTGTAGAGTAGGACGTCACTCAGTGTTGAGCTATTGTCCTTCTAAACTGACCGTCAGTGTTGGAGCTCAGTTCAGCAGCCTTTCCACGCTCTCAACACACACATACACTAACACCAACTTGAACTCATGTACTCTAAAATAATGAAAACAAACAATTTAAACCAGTCAAAAGGAAAAGTTAAATGAAGCAAGATTATATCAATATATGGGTGGTGTCATGTTAATAAAAAAACAACTGTGCCAACACGAAGGTTGACAAATTCACAAAGTCAAACTCAAACTCAAAAGTGACAAAAAAATAAGTAAAAGACTAAATGAAAGTGCCAATGCCGTGCCAATGCCATGCCAAGCGCCAATGATATATGTCTCATCTCACTTAGCTCAGCTCAAGTCAATTTCCCAATGAGAATGACAAATTTATTGATGAATGGTGATCGGTAAGATTGATCAACATATTCTTCCTCATCATGGTCATTTTATTTTAAATTCTTAAATTGTTGGTTCACGAATAAATAACTCGGCTTTATTCCCCCCACACAAATATTTTCTGGAAAACAAGTCCGCCATCGCTGCGGGACCCTAACCCAGTGCAGTGTGATCGTGATAGCCACCACAGGGACGGGATGCGCAGGGGCTCCGCTCTCGCTTCCGATCCCGGGCCGCGCTCCCGGGCCGCGTTATTTTTTTATGCGGCACAGATTGGGGCATGGCGCGTGTTAAACCTATGGGAAGTACGTTCTTTCCCTTCTGAATAGTGTCTGCACGTACGTGAGACTAGTCATGTTTATAGCTAGCGCATTAGCGCTGCGAAGAAGTTTGTATATCCATCGCGAACTATGTGTTTAGATAACATTCCTCTTCGTTTAAATTAGTTAAGTTTTATTGACTAATTATTGTGATGTTCTCCTTATTGACGTGCTGCCTCCTCTTCAGATTTCCAATTTGATTTTAATTGTTGATATAATGATTTTCCATGCGGTAGTGGATTAAATATAACACTATTAAAAACTGACCTCTACTACTTATACTGTCTAGTACGCACACGACCAGTATTAGTCTGTAAATCAAGACCCCTTTTAAAAAAAAGCCCCAATCTGTGCCGCATAAAAAAATAACGCTCCCGGGCCAGAGCCGAGCCGAGGCTAAATCATAATGATTCTTAATCTTACATTTGTGCGACGACTTTTGATCTAAACTGAGTCGATCTCCAATTTCCATCGGGACCTCCGCTCGCTGCCGCAGCACTCATTGCTCCTGCTCCAGGTGTCGTCATTTCGTGGAATTTACAGGTTTTCGAACAATAAAATTTAAATATTTTAATTTAATGTCCGAAAAAAGCCCCGTTTTGCCAAACGCTGAAGATGTCCGCTAAAATACAAGAGAGAAAACGGTAAGAAAACCCGCATTGCCAATTTGACTATTTTTCAAATTATCTAAGTCCTTTATCTTGACAATTTTCTTCAATTAAAATGGGTAGACGCATTATTTCTATACAAAATATAGCCACAACGTAAATTGTAAGTAGCTTCGGTAGCTAATTTGCATCCATGCCGTATACACAATTGGGGTTATGATTAGGGTTAGGTTGGGGTCACTGAAATTAGGGTTGCGTTGCTATTAATTATTTTTAGAAACCTTTCTTTTCAACTGAATTAATAATAATGCCTATCAAATATTTCTCAATCGTAATAATAAAAACCATACATGAAACCGATTTTCAATCTCATTCCATAGGCCTACTGGCTTCTTTTCTGAATGTAGCTGAATTCGCTCTTCTATACTAGAACCTGGGCCTATTATGGTAATCATACTATTTTTAAATAGAAACTTTTTCCCCGACACTGAACACTTATTTTCTTAAAGAACGCCGAAGCTTGAAACATATTTCTAACATGCATGCCTAATTTATACTCTTATAAAATTATAGAACTCTTCACGCGGTACGATGAGCATGTTTTAATTCTTTTCTTTTTTTAAGAAGGGGCCGCTCGAGGCCGGGGATCGAGCAATTAAGGTCGTGCCTCTTCCAATTTTTCACAGAGTAGACTACCTCCAAAACTGCCCCATTTTCAGGAAGAGTGCCCCATTTTACTTCTAAAAACCGTGTGCCCATGCATTTCCTTAATTTGCACCTCTGAATTAAGTGCCCGGCCTCTTCCCTCAGAGTCTTATATATCGATAATAGCTAGGTCTCCCGGCCGTAACACTTTTCATAAATTATGTGACAAGCCGTTCCATGTATACTCCACAATTTAAATTGTTTTAATTAGCTCGCTCACTTTATTCACTCGCAAATGAATCTTGAAAACCAAAACTCACGTCTCCAAAGCCGACGATGCTGAAGCAGCATCTTGATAACGTAAAGAGAGAAAATCTTGGAATAAGATTCCTTGTAGATTGAATTGCAGGGGTTATATGTAAAATCTTATTATACATCTCAAATTTAAATCATATTTTTGTCGCTATGAGGTTACACTTTGCAGGAGCCCCTTCTTTCCAAAAGATGCCCTTTGTGTTGGTGCATCGGCTCCCCCACTTTGATTGACGCACCGCCTAGCTGTCTCTGTTCTTTTCACTCTCCTAGCTCTCTCTCTCTCTCTCTCTCTCTCTCTCCCTCTCTCCCCCTCTCTCTACTTTTCTCTTACGTGCTCATTATCTCCACCTTCTTGGTTTGGTTTGGTTTGGTTTTTCGTTTACAAAACATACCAATGATTAAACCGCGTGTTTTCTTTCACATTTATAGGCTTTTATTTAGTGACCAGTCTAAATGAATCAAAAAATAAAAAGGGAAATTAGAAAGAAACATGCAGTGGTGCTGTTTATACTGTCCCTTCCTTTCTTACAGTGTAGACAAAAGTACACGTATTTAAATATTGTACAATGGTTGCTCAGCTGGTAAACGAACATTACAGATAATAATAAAATGATTACATTTGTATATTACATACATACAATTAAGAATAACGAAGCGAGCAAGCACACTGTGTCAGCCGTCGCACTCTCGGATTTAAAAGTAAGGATGTTTTATTGTTTTTTTTATTTTTATTTTTAGACGTATTTTCAAAAGCACGACAGCCAAACCCAACGCGCTTGCACGCAAAAGTTATACATCAAGATATGCTTTGAAAAGCAGTTCCTTCAGTTAACGTTTGAACGTTTATAAGGAAGGACTTCAATTAACTCTAACGGTAGGGCATTCCAGTATCTGGGTCCTGTAAACATCGTTTTGGGGGCAAAAACAGTTCGGCTACGTGGAAGGTGTTATGCGTTGCTCTGACGTGTGGGATAAGCATATAGGGATCTATTTTTCCGAAACATTTTGTAAAAATATTTCAGGTAAGTTATTAGCAGATAAATTATACATGAATATACCAACATTGTAGTAGAGTAAGTCTGGTAATTTTAGATTCTGTTTTCATGGAACAGGTTGTTGGTGTGATATCCTACATGATTTATATTTCTAATATATAGCGCGTTTTTGAATGCATAAAAGCATATTCACTAAATTTTCACAAGTGTTACCCCAGGCAAAAATTCCATATAGGTGAGGTATGGAGTCATTATAGCAGAATTTATTTATTTATTTATCATCAGTTTTATTTAAAAACAGGGTAGTCTTTTCATTGCCAAAGGCCTGCTTTACAAAAGAACCCTGTACATACAAAGATTTACCCCCCCCCCCCCAAAAAAATAGAATACATTGTAGAAAACAAAGACAAACAACATACAGTAAGACATTGAGAAAATTATATCAAATGAATAAAAAACAAATTAAAAACTAAAAACAAATTAAAAACTAGATCAAAATGAACATAAGGCCTAAAATATTAAACATAATTGATACAAAGTAGAATGACCCCAAAAATACAAATACACATGCCATAAACATAGATATAAAATCAAAGGGGTAAAAGGTAAGAAATAAAACTACTACAGACTACAGTAATTAAACAAACAAACAAAACTAACTGTATGGTAAAAGTCACGATATAACACTAGGTATACAGTGCATACATTAAATTGATGGAGGAAGGGAGTGACTTGGTTTTTGAATAAACTGATGATAACATTTTACTTCGGGAAAAAGTGTTTAAGGCTATTGAGTATACCAGTATTTCTTGAGAGGGCCTTGCTCAAATTATTAATGTGGGATTTCCAAGATAAATCACTATCGATATAAAGTCCCAGAAATGTAGTGCAGTTGACTTGTTCTAGTTCGGTATAATTACAATTGACATGATTAGGAAATAATTTCTATGTATTACTAAATGAAACCATAAAAAGCATATGATGTCAAGCATCACATGACCGCAATTAATCACTACCGAGAGTGCAGACATCTATTCCGATTTCTTCGTATACCCGTTTTCACGACCGTTTTGGTGCCCATTCTGCACCGGGCCATTCTGTTCACTGTGCGCATTTTGGTATCCGTTCTTGATTGCCTTCGGTTTGTGATCTTTTGAAACTGCAGTAACAACCCCACAAACCACGTGACCTGCATTAACGTCACACAGAACATGACAAGATGACAGCCAAAATACATCGAGGTCGCGACCTCCCACAAAGTCAGGTGGTATGAGTAGGCATAGATGACGTACAAGTTTGGGAAGAGCACAATCCGCGTCAGAAAGAAAGTCGCTAAGGCAACAACAGTGTTGACTTTGAACATCATCGAATCCATGCTGCAATGCTGTAAAAGGAATATAAAGACATAGCATTATTGATAAGTGTGAGGATAAACTGACTTGAAGGAATACTAATTTCAACTTGGATGGGTAGGCCTACTATAGCGCAGAAGTTCCAACCCGATTCTAGGTTAAGTGGGTTTTCTCTGCTGTCCAATCTTTCTCCCAAGTGAGAGTGCGTCGGCAACTAGCACAGTCTTTAGAGGAAACCTCACCCTAAACAATGAGTGTAGGTATTCTGAAAATGAGATTTCCCCCCTGCCCTTTGATGTACAATATTCCTTACGAAAATGTACAAGATATAATAACTATGAAGATATTCTTGGCATGATTGTGATGCGTTTAAGCATGACATGGGCGCAGCCATTTTCGGAAAAATTTAATGTGACGTATACCAGTTGAAGTTGTAATTGTACCATGCACCAAGCTTTAGTTGGAAAGACTTTTAAAATAAAATCTTTACTTTTCGATGAGGATAAATCATAGCTGAAAAATTTGAAATTATATTTGGTGAAAAACATATAACAGAGGAACAAATATATTGTTATCATTCAAAATACTAAAATATAGCAGTTCACAAATCTATTTCATTTATGAGAAACCTTCACCCCAGGAGAGCACCAACTTATTCATGCAACTTAACTTCTCGTAATTGTAGTACAAAGGATAATAGTATTGTGAATGAAATGCTTCATCACCACACACACCTATAGGAAGGAAGCATCCATACATTTGTATACATTTACTTGATAAACGATTTCACATCGTACGTAATGTTATCAAGAAAATGACGATGCCCATGTCATACTGAGAAATTGTACACTTTTCTTGATTTATGCCTCTCTCTCATACACTTTTGGTGGAGAATCTTGTAGTTTAATGGGCAAGATTATAATAAATCTCTCAGAATAAGTAAAGTTATTTCTCGAAGGTAAGACCGCACTTTATACAGTCGCTGGCATCCTCCACCCTCCCTTTAAACCTGAATTACACAACTTTAAGATACAACCAAAAAAAATAATGCCCCCTCCCCCCCCCCCCCCCCCCCCCAATTCATTTTTTGTTCTTAATTGATATGCTTACCTTGATTAGGATCTTTCTGATGTTGATAAACGGTGTGCTAAGTTCGGTGACCTGCACGCAAGCAATCATAAAAGCTGCCTTTCCAAAGCGATAATGCTGCGGAGAAAAGGAGCAAATAATGGATTCGATATATGTCCTGGGGACTGTTTCACAAAGACTAAGAACGACTTTAAGTTGGACTTAACTATGGCAGGCTGTTCATGCCACTATTTTCTCTCATAATTCACTGGCATTGGTTTCTCAATGGATGTACCAACCGTGGTCACAAATCTACAGAATATACATTTTTTGATAGTTCATTATTGAAGGAAAAAATATTATCTAAAGATCATAATTGAGAGACCAGTGGTGAGAGCAACCAGTGGCATGAACGGCCTGCCACAGTTAAGTCCAACTTTAAGTCGATCTTAGTCTTTGTGAAACACTCCCCAGGATATATTGCATGCGCGTAAGGTGATCCCACAAAATAATGTTCCGGTGACAGTTGCATTTGGTCGAGGGTTAATATGGTTAGGGTTAGGGTGAGAATAAGGGTTGTCAGTGGGGTTTATGTTAAGTTAGGGTTGAGTTAGGTATATATAGTGTTTGGTCCATGGTTGAAGTTAATAATTCGGTTAGTGTAGGAAATTGACTCTGAGCAAAATTAATGTTCAGCTATCCGTATAGGCAGACCAATGCGCATACACACATGCACGCATACACACACCAGGGTGGTCGCTGGAAGGAGTAGACCATTATATACAAAACCGAGAATTATCGATGTGTTTTCATAACTTAATCACGATCATAATGAATAAATAACACATATTTGTAAAGCTTAGATCTCCCTCTTTTATTTGATGCAACTCTTATGATGCACATTTCACGCACGATTGATTAAAACACTTGAAGAGAGGGTACCAGAAATTCATTTGGCGGACGGTATCTGAATTTCAAAGAGAAAATCACATTTCTAGAAAGATCATTTTCTGCCCTTTCTCAATCAGGAAAAATGAGAAATACCAAAGTTCCGTTTGTTTAAATAATGCTTGCATTTCCATCAGTTTGGTTAAACAAATCCGTTTTCACTGGCTGCTTGCCGTAGTAACAAACAGAGCTGACAAAAGACCTTACTCCGTTTCGTTGACGATCAGCCATGCACAAAAAAGACGAAAGACTACATTATTTTTTTCTAAGATATTCTTCTAAACTGACATAAAAAGAAAGATAAATCATTTTTTCCTTGATCGGAACTCGACCTTTAAACAAAAATCAGATGCTTAATTATTATATAGCAGCTAAATGTGACCGTTTAGAATTTAGGAACGCTTTCTCTGTTTTCCCCTTTTTTGATACTGAAAGCACCAAATTACAAATTATACCTGAGCAGAAAGTAGGCCTACAAACTATGGTTGGATATTTTAAGTCAACTTATGTAGCAGTAAATTGTGTTGTTCATGAATAAGAGCAATTAAAAAGCGATTTAATTGATATAATCATTGAAATCTCTACGTCAATAATGTATTAGAACTTAACCACCGGAGTGTTGGCTCAGTCAGTAGAGCGTCCGCCTCACAACCGGGAGGTCGTGGGTTCTAACCCCGGCCGCGTCATACCAAAAGACGTTAAAAGATGGGAGTTGTTGCTACCTTGTTTGGCGTTCAACAATAAGGGATAGAGCAACGTCGATCTGGCGCTGCACAGTGGCTGCCGGGCTCACGATCAATTGGGCAAAAAGAATTTCCGTTTCGGTTTAATAAAATTTGGAGTGGACTATTAGGCTATTATTATTATTATTATTATTATTAATTTCTTGTTGATTTTATATAATTTCTATTCTTATTGGCTCGTGTGACATACATCTATGTTTTAACTATGAAATTGTGGAAAATTCAAATGATTGCATGGTGCCAAACTGCCGATTTCGAGGACGAAAAGCTCATTTATTTACATTTTTAGAAAACTGGCCTGATATGGGTTTAATCGTTAGACAGTGAAACCTGTCTATAAAGACCACACAAGGGAGACAAGATAAGTGGTCTTTATAGCCAGGTGCTTAAATTACATGTTTCAATGATAAACCATTTTCATGGGAAACAAAAAATGTTGTCTCTGTAGACAGCTGGTCTTTCTATACAGGTGGTCGCTGAAGCAGGTTTGACTGTACTTACCAGTACGAGGGGGTAGCCCCCAGCAGCGACCAGGACATGATGGACACACACCAAGGGATGTTCTCGCAAAAACCTTCTCAGAGACGTCGACCAGGTTGTTTCCATCAGTTGTTTCTCCCTGCAGTAAACCATATACATAGCTACCACGTCGTAAAACCAATACGAAGTGGCGAAGGCAAAGCTTTGGTCCAACAGTTTACATCTATGGCGGTACACAAGGGAACGAAAGAAAGAAAAATATTTTTAAAAACAGAGGGAAAAGGTGAATGGAAAAGGGGGGAGGGGAGCGTGAAAAATGCTAAACGATCCCAGGTGAAATGTGGGATCTTTGGTTTTTTAAAAATAAATTCCTAGTCATACAAAAAACCTTAGCTTCTATAGTTTTAAAAAAAAAATCGAATTGTAATAATCTGGGGCCACGCTACACCACTGGGAGAAGGGGTGTCACATCACCCCCCACCCTCTTAAAGGCATTCATTTCATTCTCCTCTTTAAAAAGAAGAATTAAAGACAAAGCTGAGTTTGACTAAAGACGAAAAATAATTGGTGAGCTTTCTCTATCTTTTTGTGTCATTTTTCTTAGTCCCATGAAAAGGATTACTCTTCAAATAACCTCCTTTTCAATTATGACGAGAATAAGCTATAAATTTCTGACAAAACTTTTATGCCACCTGTCCAGATGGTGTGATGGCCGGTTTCTGTGTGCAGTATATACATGTTTCAGGAAATATGAGTCAATTTCTCATCACTGTGATCATTCTAAAACTTCACAGTATTCTTACTTACTGCATAAGCAACATTTTCCAATTGTTTTCTTACACGATGCCTATCTATCTACCTATCAAGACATTCATTCCACAGTTTTAACTTTGGCTCTTAGAACTAAAAAATATACAAGGTGCTTGAGTAGAAAGAGCAAAATTTTCAACACATACTGTGCTAATTTTTGTGTATGAACATATTGCGATTAATGTCAGAATTTTTGTTTTATTCGGAAACAGGCTTTATTTAAAAAAAATATGATTTAATGTTTTCCTTTTTTTCGTTACCACAGGAGCGGGAGATGTCTCCATATAATTTTCAAAGATGAAAGGTGAAATATACCTACTTAAAAAGGACAGATATCAAGGGCCTTGTGTCGCCCCCGCCCCACAGCTACACCATAGCCTTGGGGGTGTCCTTCGTCTAATATTTCCCTTTGTTATAAGCATTTTGTTTATTGCTTAGGCCTATTTAAATTTATGAATAGCGACCCTAACTCTATCTTATGAATAGCGAACCTCATTTCGTATTATGAATAGCGACACTCTACTTCTATTATGAATAGCGACCCTCTACTCCTATTGTGAACAGCGACCCTCATTTCGTTTTATGAATATCGACCCTCTTCTCGTTTTATGAATAGCGACCGTCATTTCTTATTATGAATAGCGACCCTTATTTCGTATTATGAATAGCGACCCTTTCCTCGTTTTATGAATAGAGACGCTCGTTTCGTATTAAGAATAGCGGTCCTTACGAGTAGTGACCCCTTCGTCATGTTTATGAATAGCGACCCCGATCCCCTCCACACGTACGTCAGCGCCATGACCAAAATATGTGCGAAGTCGTAGATAGCTATAGCTGCTTGGTATATGGTACGGTGCACAAATTCACCTATTCAGAATAATGTCGTTTTAATGAGATAATTAATTCACTCAAATGAGATATTATCTCGTTTTAAAGAGATAATTTATTAATTCATTAAAATGAAATATTATCTCGTTTTAATGAGATACAAATATTTTTCACATGTCCCTTTCCGGGCTCCGTAAAAAAGGACTTACTCTTTGTAGAATATATCAGTATACGTTCTTGACATGGTTAGTGATCCGAGGATGAATTGAAACGCTGCTTGAACACAGGACACACGTCTGTCAAAGAAATGGAAAAAAGACATGGAAAAATGAAGGCTAATTAACTATAGCTGACTTCTGATTTCTCATCGGTTTATCACGGGAACCCCTTGGTTCCAGTAAGCAATGGGTTTATGTTGTTTCAAAAAGAGATGAAAACATTTCTGGAAATATAATGTTAAACGTAGGTAGATCCGGGGGGTTGAAACATCCGCGCCTCTTCCCCAGAAACAAAATATGTCGGGGGAAAATTTGTGTAGGGGAAAAGAAATGAAGAAATGAAGATTAATTTGATGATGTATTCACATTTTTCTTTTGATCCATAATATGAAAATCATTTATTTCATCAGCCCTCCAAAGCTGGCTTTGAGTTTGAGGAAGAGTCGCCTCTAAAGTAAAATTTTAAAATACCATTGTTTCACATCAAAGGGCTTGTTTCTATGACGTCTCATGGACTGAGGGAAGAGGGTAAATAGCAAATGTCCCCCCCCCCCCCCCTTAAATTTTTTTTTCTACAGATTCTTTATTTCGAACAAATATTGTCTTATCATATGCATATAAAACTTGTTTGACTGTAATTCTTCCAATATTAACGCCCTTAATAACCTCATCATTCCTCACTATACTGCTGCCAATATTTCTTCCGAGAAAAAATAGATGGGGCGAGAGTGGATCTCCTTGCTTGACTCCTCGCCTAATATCAAAGTAACCAGTAGCGAAATTCCCATTCATAACACAACTGCTTATATTACTATAAATAGTGTTTACTCACGAACAAAATGAGGGACCGAACCCAAATATTTCTAAAGAGGAAAGTATGAGAAACTGAATATGTTAGATAATGTTACGAATACTTTTTCAAATCAACTGAATCTAATAATTACAAGCTTTATCATCTGAATCCTCATTAAAAAACAGAACATAATCATCAATTAAAAGTATCGCTTCTCCAATATTTCGATTATTCATATAGCTAACATTTTGACAACATTTTGTAATCAACATTTGATAATATCATTGGCCTATATTTTTTTTGTGTATCGAGGGTCTTTCCATTCCTTCTCAATCAAAGTAATAACCCCTTTTTGTGATATTGATCATCTCATAACCTTCATTTAAAGCATCTACCAAAACATTTCCGATATTTAACCAAAGCGTAATTCAAAATTCAACTGTAAGGCCATTATTCTCCGGAGACTTGTTTAATTTAATTGCCTTTAATACCTCAAAGCACTAATCTTTTGTTATTTTAACTTCACATGCATGCTTTCCTTCCATCTTCTCTTAATTTTTGGAAAACAAATTTTCCGTGTCTTCATTAAAAAACATTTATCTTTTCCTCATATGAATTTGTAGACGACTTTCTATTCATTGCCAAAATAATGTTCCTATTATATACAACACTTTCACTCTCATCATCAGAGGTGATAGTGAGCGCTAAAAAAAGGGTTTAAGTGAGAGTTAAAAAAAAGGTTTTTAGAAATCTGAGCGCTTGCAAGTCATGGAACAACACCCCCACCCCACCTCACTCCCCCTAATTTTAAACCGGATTTACTTCGATCTCAGGAACTGTCCATTTTTGGAAGAAAAAAAATCATGATTAAAAAAAAAAATCCAAACAAAAATCGGGATGTTATCAGGCCTGCATCAAGCAATTCCCTTACCACGGTTTTCTTCTTATTTTGACTTAAGCAGTTGCTCGAAATACTCCTTGTTCTTTTCTCCTTCCTCGTACCACGCAGCTCGTGACCTAATCTTTATTCCTTCTATAGACTCCTCATGCAATTTATTTAATTGTTTTTTCTTTTCTTCCGATTCTTCCAACTTCAATGGAAACCTAACTAATTCACCTTTCAGCTGTTTTACTTCATTTTCTAGCCTTTGAATGTTCTGTTTCTTTTCTTTTGCCTTTTCCTTCGAAAATTTACTTGCGTATGCTGTCATTTTCATTTTCAAATAATCCCAAAATAACATTCTCTTGTCAAATATATTTTCCCAATTTCTTTTAATCAAATTAATTTCATTTATCATACCTTCCAAAAACATTTTTGTCTAAACAAAGACTATTATCAAATTTTCAATATGATCTTCCATTCATATCTTCAAACACTAATTTGCCAGAATAATTCCCAGAATAATTCCAGCATGGTCAGGAGTGATCAACTGCATATTTTCACAAGTAGTTACAGCTTGTTCCAATAATTGATTTGAAATAAACCAATAGCCTATTAACCATGGCGTATTTTGCCTAAACGCATACTACTTTAATTAAATCCGGATTAATCTTCGATACATCACACATCTAATTTCCTCAAAAAACGTCTCTAAATAATTTACAACGGTTGATCTAACTACTCTCGTAGCTTTTATGTCATCAATGTTTTCATGAAAAATAACATTAAAGTCTTCCCCTAGAATAATCGAATAATTCAAATAATCCAAATTTAAAATACGAGAGTCTATTTTTTCCAAGGGAGTTTTTTTTGTTGCTGAATATTTCCTCTTGTTGGGAAGTAAACACATTCCCTATTAAGAGCCTAATATCCAAAACTAAACCTTTTAATAAAATAAAACGACCATCCACATCTTTGATCACCTCCTCCACTTTTACATCTGAAGTGAACTCACTTAATATAAAACCGAAACTTAATTTCTATTGTTCAAACTACAGAAGTTGATGGTGATTGATTGGTTATGGTAGCATCAGTATTTGTTGCAAGGCCACTGGAGTGAAACCAAACTATATCGATGAAGCAGCGAATATATTATAGAAAGAAATTAAGTTAAACTATTGACCCTACCCCCAAAGGGTGATTGTTGCTGATAGTATTTCGACTTTCAGTTTAAAAACATTGTGCAAACGAATTAATCAAATCTATAAATGCATAATATTATTAATAAGTAGATCCGAGACGGAGAAATGCCAGCCTCATGAAAGATAACCAAGATAATTACATATAAAGCCTATAAATGTTACAAATCAAATCCTAATAACCTTTATTATAAGATGATGACGTCGATCCTAATCAAATGATTGGTTGAGAGCGTACACGTGACCAGGCATTTATTTTGCCTAACGCGTAATTTAGAAAACGACCAGTCATTATCCAATGGTAATGACCGGTCATTAGTAAAATCATGTTATAAAACATCATCTGATATAACAAATAAAACATAATCTTATAAAACAAATAGGCCTAATACACATCATTTTGTTCGGGCATATAACATTACCCACACTCGGTACCTTCAAAACAGTCCAAACACCCTCGGCTTTCGCATCGGGCGTGTTCCAAAGGTACCTTGCGTGGGTAATTCTTAGTAATGCACTCACTGCTGTGTATTATTTGTATAATAACCTATTTTCCCATCTTTTAAATATATGTCGAAGGTTCTTGAAAAGGGTAATCCGAACCAACAATAAAGTAATAAATGCATAAACACCAGAGCGATTCGGTTTTAAAGCAAAAGGGTCACTCAATCTCGACGTCATTGATGAAAACAAGCGATTGCCATGACTGACCCCAAGCCATGGATAATGGGCAATAATATTCGCGGTATTCGTTGATTTACAACATGACAAGTTTTATTCCGGCATTTATACCAAAACTCCTTTTATCTCTGAACCGTGGTATATAGTTGACAAATCTATAGACTGGTTTAAAGGTAAAGACCAGTTCTGGTCCTGCGATTGCATTGTGAAAGAAAAATTGTGGAATTGATCAGAAAAGGTTGATCATCTAGCATTTTGGCGTGTACTGCAAGGTTCTGGAATCAACAGGATGATAAGAAATTTGGCCCAGTCTTGGTAAAGTTACAAGCGCTGTACACAGAAAGATGTATATGGGACTACGCGATATCAATCCAGGCCGCATAGATATGATAATTTACCAAATATATCAATTAGTAGGCGGTTTCCCGGCAAAATTTGTATCATCACGTATTAGTCAAAGCATATTCTTTCACATGATTGGTAATAAGAGCTTCCGTTTCATTTTTTGAGAGGGGAGCGTTTCCAAAACTGGTCTTTACCTTTAAAGTTTATTTAACAACTAGAGTATACGATCATCACAACTTGTTAATTATTGTATTTTCAGCAGAAAAAAAAACTAACATTTGCGTATGGTACTATCCGTATACCCTGGATAGTCCAGATGGTCAGGAGATAGGTAAAAACCTTCAGAAATAGGATCGGTCAGGGAGTGTCGTGCACGAGTTTTAAAGAGAAGGTTGAGTTCTAGAAATAAAGATCTTTTTTATTCAGTTGCGAGCTTTCTTATAATCTTTGAAGTCAGTTTGGAAAACAAGATGTTTCAAACCCATACATATTGCTCCGATTGTCTCATTTTCGCTCGCTCGATCACTGCAGCACAAACATAGCTCGTTCGACGTCACTACCAAACTAGCCAATCAGCTGTCAATGACGTCATATTGAATGCGGCGGCAAATATATTTTGTGAAATTATCGAGAAATTGACTATTTCTAATTGCAAACTAGTTTTATTTTTGGATGGAAAAGCAGCCATTGTTATCTTGACATTCATTGAAGTAATCAGAATAGGGTAAGTTACTTCTCAGATGATTCAAGAGGTCCATTTTGTAGATAATTTGTTAATTTCTTAGAATGTTCCACTGTGTTGCAGGGTATACGGTGTATGCCATTGGGTGTGATGTGTTCGCGCGCTATAAGTACAGGCCACCGCGCCGTCGGGTGTATTCTCGTATATGTAGGTGCAAAGTCTACCACGCCCACTTCCCTCTCTATGCCTTTCTGAACATTCCTCTCCTTCTCAATACAATAACTTTCACCTGCCTAAGTTATTCAAACCATACCGCCTCGCCACTTCCATTACGTAATCATTAAAAGGATCCGCATATACAACATTTTCCTGCTATACGTTGTACTGTATGAAAATACAAATCTCCCTGGTATACCTTACAGTCCAAACGATAAATATGTGCCTTTAACGAAGCAGGCGACAATCGGCGTAGCAGACGACACTTGATAGTAAT